TGTTGTATCCGGATATCATATTAAGTCGAGTCGAGCATCTTAACAGTTAAATTTATTGATCTGAGCATAGTACTTAGTAATTGTTTATATTATGTTACAGTTTGATCAGTTCACGACTATCAGCACTTCCAGTTTCATATCTTCAGTACAGGTGGGGACTCAGACTGGGTATTACATTGATTATAATTACGATATCATGTTCAAGGTATATCAATCATGTTTTCCGCTTGGAATGGATGTTGGCCGGTTCAGGTTGCCATAATTCCATTCTAAGTTCTAGTGGCGTCATCTACCACTAGTATGTGCACATGGATTCCGGCTTATTATTGTCATCATCATTATCATTATCATTATCATCATGACAGCCGGTAGATTCACGGGTCCCGGTCCAGTTTATACTGTTGACCAGGAAATTCACGGTTATGTTATATGCTTTTGATCATGATGTTACTATTATTATTGCTGTTTACTTTAGTATGAGTTCCTACGGAGTACAGTGGTACTCACACCCCATTTTTATAAAATTTTTCAGGTCATGAAGTCGGTCCGGAGCTGTGAAGTTGACGGGTGGATCGAAGTTAAATATTTTGCTGTATATTTTGCCACGCTATATTCCGCTGAATTTCACTGTTTGACAAACTTTGACTTTTGATCCGATTTTATAGTCGGATTGTATATTATGTAAATCCGTTTTTGTTGTAAATTTTTAAGCGGTCATAACGGATTTCTAAAAGATAAAATAGATGTTTTAGTAACGCTCCGAATCATTTTCTCGAACTATTTTTAAAATATGTCTTGTAAACGCACTCTGATAATTAAGTTAGAGCAGGGCGTTACAACTGATTTGGGGCGTTACAAACCAGAGGTGCGATGGCAGTGTCAAGGGCAGGAGACGTCAAATAAGGGAACTCTAATCACAAAATTTCACATCACGTGAGACCAGAAAAGTGTGGCTGTCCAAATCATAAACACACCACCCCTTTTGGCTAGATGGATAGACAACAAAAACACATCGATGACTCCGACTTGCAAACTTGTCGCCTTTCCTGTTCTGATTGTGCACGTAATACAGACAGCCAAAAACACGTAAGTGCGCATAGTTGGGAGGTTCTCAATACCAAAGTTCATAGGGAGTCTTGCCAGATAAAAGAGGAGTAGGCGTTCGATTAATCAAATAGCCAGCAGCAAGTACACAATGTCCACAGAACTCAATCGGTAAATGGGCTTGAAAGCTTAATGCTCGAGCAACATTAAGAATGTGCTGATGTTTGCGCTAAGCACGTCCATTTTGTTGAGGAGTTCCGACACAAGAAATTTCATGAACAATCCCCTGTTGACGGAAATAATCGCGCATAAGAGTAAATTCAGTCCCATTATCATTGCGAACAGTTTTAACCAACACACGAAATTGCCTTTTTACAAAAGAAAAAAATTGTAGTAAAGTGGAAGACACCGAAGATTTGTCATGCAATAAGAAAATCCAAGTACCGCGAGAATAGTCGTCAACAATAGTAAAAAAATATCGAGCACCAGTAAAGGCAGGAACTCTATATGGTCTCCACACAACACAATGAATCAGACTGAAAATGGAACTGCTAACACTTTGACTAAGAGGAAAGCTAGCACGAGATTGTTTCGCCCGACAACAAACATCACAAGTTTTATTCGAGACCAAGGAGCAAGACTCAACAGAAGGCAATTGACCAAGAATAGTAGAAGAGGGATGACCCATCTGCTGGTGCCACAAGTGTTGTATAACCGAAGACACCCAAGAAGCATTGGCAGTGATCGCCCCTCTGAAAAAATAGAGTCCCCCAAACTACTAACTCGCTCGAATCACCAACCTCGAAGTGAGGTCCGGAATAGCACAATATTTACTAGTAAAGGTAGAAACACAACCAGATTGTTCCAACAAACGAGATAACGATATCAAGCTGCATTGCAGATTGTCAATGAACAAAACATCATATGAAATAATACGAGAACCGAGATGAACAGTGCCAACTTTACACGCAGTGATTAGCGTGCCATTAGGTAACTGCACAGACCGGGGAGGAATATCTCGAATATCAGAAAAAAATTCTATGTAGCCCGTCATATGATGTGAAGCACCGCTATCATACATCCATTCATAAGGACTACGCTTACTAGACAAAAAAGCATTATTGCGGGCGGAAGCGACGAGGTGTACAATAGACTCCCATTGGCCATCAGTCAACCCCGAAATAGCCGCCTGATCGGAGTTCGTCAATGCAGATGTTGGCCCGCCATGAATGGAGCTAGAGGTACTAAGTGCAGCCCCGTTCCCAAAGGCGGTGTTGACAATGGTTGGACCACTGTGGCCGGTAGCAGCCGGTCCCTCACGGTGTTGGCCACGACCAGCTCGTCCCCTGGCATGAGCAGCAATTTCCTCGCTGCGACCAGAGCTGGTTCCCAACCAATCGGGATAGCCGATGACCTCAAAACATAATGCCGCAAAATGACCCGATTTCCCGCAATGATAACACTGACGAGCCGAGGAAGCAGCCATGAGGTCTCAGTTGATCGAGAACTTTTTTTTATTTTATTTTATTTCACCCCAGNAGCCTCACGAAAAAATCTTATTAGGCAACAAGTTTCAGGCCCCAAAAGAATCTCCCGAAAATATGTAATCAATATCTATCTCTCTCGGCTAAAACTTTTTCCGCAAGATATTTTAGATCTCTTGCAACTCTCAAACAAATTAAATCTCCCAGCAAGAATTAATTGTCTTCACAAAATCACAACCAAAAGAATATAAAATCCTATGACCTTACCACTCGACTAATCAATTCCCAGCACTAAAAAAAAAATATCCTAATCCTCCCCAATTCAAAAGAATGAACAATCTAAAATTCTCGGCCAAATAATTTTCCATACAAAATCCTAATACATTTTTTTTATTGGTTTGGAAAGAAAAAACGAGAGAGAGCAGGAGAGAAAAAAATGAGTCTCAGTTGATCGAGACTTGAAAAATCCGAGAGAAAAAAAAATTAACCGAGCTTTGATACCATGACAAATCTGTGAAAATAATTCATTCCCAAAACCCTGCTTCACAGAGATTTACTAGAGCCGAATATAAAGATACAAAAGAAGCCCTAAAACAATATACACCAAATCTCTAAGATACCAAAATATATCTATACCAAAAATACAATATTCACAAAATCACTCTAACAGTGGTCCTTTTATTATGATTCAGTTTTATGCTTCCTCTAAGAACTTTTTCGAACTTGTTGTTTTCAAATGCTTGGCATGTGTTTGAGACTATGTTTGATTGTTTAGTGTTCATGTGTGATTTTACACCATATTTATTGAGTATCTAGAGCTTAGTCATTCCATTATTGGTGTATAAATTGCATATTTGTGCTTTAATTCTCTATTTGTTGGAAAGGTATTACACGTGCTTGTTTTGTAGATAGTTCCACATATTTGTAGAGCTTTTGGCTATTGGAGGCGCATGGTGAGTACCTAGGACCCCCGGGATGATGATAGATTGATGCACGGATGAGAAAAATAGAAGAAACGAGTGAAACGGACAAAAACGAGCAAGCAGGATTGTGACACGGGCAGTGACACGGGCGCCATGCCCGTGTCAGAGGCCGTGTCACCTCAACAGAGACAATTCGAAGCCCAGGGACCTGACACGGGCTGCGACACGGCCGGTGACACGGGCAGAATGGCCGTGTCGCGTGCAGAAACAGTTTTTTATATCTTACCTATTTTGAAAAGGAGAAGGGTTTTGGACATTATAAAAGGCATATTTACCCTATTTTGAGGAGTGGAACGTGATTACACCATAGGGGAGCCCTAGAACACACAAGAGAAGCAATTGGGAAGAAAAAGAAGATCAACCACAAAGGGATCAAGAAGATTGAAAGATCGACGAAATTCCTAGTTTTTCTTTTTTCTTTCCTTTTGAACTTTTATTGATTATGTCGACTTCTAATATGTCTATGTATTTGAATTCGACATGATTGGCTAATTTATTTGATTCTAGGACTTGGTAGTAGATTAATATGTTGGGATTTTGGATGAATTATTATAATTGATTGTTTTTCTTTTGAACCCTATTCAAATATTTTGTTCTTGTTTCATGTTTAGCACTTGATCAATGCTTTTACATGTTTGACAATATTGTTCATAATTCGAGAGATGAGTTCAATATTAGGTCTTTAATATTTGACACAATTTACTTGCTTGAATCGAGAGATTAGTAGGTCGTTGTGAGGATATTAGATCCTTTAATCTATTTGGAGTTGAATTGCATGTGTTGAGTGGAGATGCTAATATATGTGATTTAATCTACGGTTTTATCGATCTCGAGAGGGACGATAAGCTAAATTTGTGATCATCTTATATGGTAGATAAAGAAAACATTGGTTGTGATATTTCTGAAGGAACCCAACTATTAATTGAAACCAAAGTCTTAGAATCTATCATTCTCATATATTTTCTTACGTGTTTTTTCTAGCTAGTTTCTCATTGTTGCTTTATTTTCCTTTGATTATATTTTTTTAGTTTAGTTAATCCATCTCATATTCGGTCGTCTAAATAAAGTTGACACTATCATAATCTTGTACTTCATATATTAATTATTTGGTCTCTTGGGATACGACCTTGCTTGCCACTACGAGCGAAGCCGTACACTTGCGGTCGAGCTTTAAAAATATAGGCGAACATTTAGAAACTTTCAGTTTTATAGCATGTGAGTATTCTTTAAGTATGAGTGAAGCAGTTGATAAGTTGAGTTATCTTTTGGGAATCGAGTTCCCATAAGAACTTAAGTGCAAGACTTAAGTAATGCTTTAAAAGCAAATCAGTTTCAACAAGTTTTGGAAGTAGTAGAAGTAAAGTTCCCTAAGAATGTTTAAAATTAAAAATGTTTACGAAAAGGTTCGAAATTACATGTGAAAAATCAGTACTTCTCCAAAGCTAAGTAGAGGGGTCGTACAGTTTTCGGTAAATCGTCTTCCTCCCTTTTATAGGTATGCCCTCTCCTTTATAAAAGAGAAAGCGATTCGACGTCGGTGAATTGTCTTCCTTGTCGTTAAATCGTCTTCCGATGTGAGGCTTCGCCGATTGAGAACAACCGTGATATAAACAAGCAAGCCAGTACAGAGAACCAGCCTGCATGGCGATTGAGCGCTACAGAAAGGCGAATGCAGCCCACGCACCAGCCCTGAAAGCCTGGTCAGAAGAAGGAACGAGCTGCTTTGACAATTCGAAAAAAATCCCTCTTCGATCAGAGCGATTAGTTGGGCCAGCTAGGAGGGCGAGGAGAAGAGAGCAAAGTAACACTCGACCAAAGGGAGAGGAGAGAGGCAATTGACGACTGAATGGTACAAATGAAGCGAATGAAGTGAAGGAAAAGGTCGATGTAATTGAGCTTGATGTCAAGGAGAGAAGAAGCCACTTCCTCTTTAAAAGGGGGTTTTCGGAGAAGCATTGAATTCACCTATTGACTACCTGGGAAGGATATTGAGGAGTTTCACCGTAGGAAGATATCCGGCTCATTATTTATTATAAAGAAAATTTATGTCTTTCCCACTGATTTCTCTATTGGTCTCACAAGTTTATTGATAGTCCAGTTCTTAAGGAGAACGGTGATAGTCTCGCATCCTTGCTATATACTGATCAAAGATTGCTAATGATTTCATACCACAACAAAAGTGTCCATTATTTGATTTTCATACTTTTGTTGTGGTATTTTGGTGATTGCAATGCTGGTAATTATGGTTCGTGTTTAATTTTTTGCTAATGTTTTTTACTTGTTATTGTTTGATTAGCATATATGGTGACAAATAATGGACACTTGAAATTGATTGAGACAGAGGAGGTAAGTTGTTTGATTGATATATATATTTAATCATGGAACCATGATAATTTAATATAATACTAAAGGATACATATCCCATATATAATTAAAGAGAAGTTGTCATCTCAAACTTGTACATAAACAATTTGGACATTTCCTCCCTTTGATATGTTTGGTGATCTTCAAACTTGTGATTGGATGAATACATTTGCCAATACAAATCCAATGGTTTATATACTTGGAATCTCAGTACAGTCGCTGTTTAGAGGATATTCATGTTGGGTATCAATTTCTTGAAATGTGCAGTCTCGTTCGTTGTACCAATCACCAATAGCTTGTGCAATTGTCTGCAAATTAAGTTGACAATTTAAATGAACAATTAAGCAACAAACAGTATTCAGAATAGAAATTATTTTGCTATGTAAATCTGAATCAACATATAAAATAAAATTCAAGTACGTAGTAACTTACTTTATTTTTCAATTTGTATGATGCATCCCATCCAAGATTCTGGTAAAAGTGACCATGACGGAAGCAAGGGTGAACGAACATTCCAATGGATGACGTGTCTCGAATTTCTTGCAATGAATTAGTGAGGGCCACACCGTATTCTGAAAATTAATTAGCAACCAAATTATGAACGCCATCACAAATGACAAATATGCAATTAATTGGACATGAAAAACCAAAAAAAATAAACAAATAAAAAATAATAAAAATACCTTTCATGGTTTCAAAATTAGAAGGTGAGCAAAGTGTTACATCGTTCGTGCATGTCTTAAAATTTTTATCATCTGTAAACTCGTTCATATGCAACTGCAACAATTACAAAATATAAATAGTAATGTTGTCGACGAAAGCAAAAAGTTGTGGATAAATATCCTTTTATTTGGTTTTTTTTAAATGTGTATATATATATATATATATATTTGTAAACATACCTGATACCAATCAAATTTTGATTCGACTAAAAAGAGTGGTGTCTGGATATCTCGGATCATATATTGTGGGAAGATGCACTGAAATTTTTTTAAGAAACAATTAATGATATTAACATTATTCCAACATACACTATATTTTATTCTTAAGAGAGATTGAATGTTTAGTGTAGGCGAAAATTAAATCATGTTTGATCAACTAAGTTAACAGATTTCTAATAATGATTCACTAACTAGTAAATATCCTGTGCACATACACAAATGTACATAACATATTACATTTTTAAAAATTTAATCCTTAGGAAAAATAAATTAATGATTGTTTATTATCACTAGATAATAGCAGTTTGATTATTATTATTATTATTATTATTATTATTATTATTATTATTATTATTACAAAAACAAATGTTTATAAGATTTTAAAGTTGTTTGACTATGCTATTAAAACAATTTACGAATTGTTTTTAAAGAAATTTTGTCATGAGATACAAAAGAAAAAGATAATATTGATGTTAAAATAAATAACTTGAAACAATTGTTTATAATTATGCAATTCATATTTATTGTGAATTATTATTAGTTGGTATTAGCATTAATCACTATATAATATAATAAAAAAAATACATGATTACACTCAATAGGATGTATTAATGTGAGAAGTAAAAAAACATTAATGATAAATTTTGTAACCGAAAATAGACGGAAAATTTTAGAGGTTTTATTAAATAGGTTTTCTTAAATGTTATTAGCTAGTAATTATATATATGTAGATAACGTTCACCCAACATAGTAACTGACTTTCCAAAATTTTTTCAAAAAGGACACATTTTGACAATTTAGTGTACCAAATAAATTATCAAAATTGATACACTAACTTGTTAAATGGAATTTTTTTTAATGATTTTGTCAATTATGTTACAGAGTTTGATTAACAAATATGTCAATTTAATGGACCAAAAATAAAATTAAGGCCATGTAATGTTAATATGCATAACTCACCCGACTTGCATTCATCTTTGATCTGCATGATGCAGGCAACTTATCCGTAAAACCCTACACACCAAACACATCGATAAAGAAAAATGGAAAGCAGAGAATAGATATGTAACTCACACTAGAACAATTTTTTCAATTAGTATATATATATATATGTGTGTGTGTGTGTGTTTTAGATTATTGTTTGTCAGTCCAAACATATTGTATTATTTTGCAGCAGATAAAAGACCAAATTCGTCCCATACATGATATGCAGCTATAGTAGCATAGTAGTTGGCTCTAAATTCAGCCCCATGGAGTTCTGGTCTGTTGCAAAAAGAAATTGTGAGTAAACACCTAATTAAGTTTCTTCATTTGAATTTTAATTTTCGAATGGTCTTACGCATGGAGAAAAAAACCCGAATCAATAACGCATTTTACTCGAACACTGCTCGGAAAAAGAGCCCGGAAGCCATCGCAATGCAAGAGTGTTGCTAATCCACCGGCCGACCCACCAGTAAGTATAACCTAATTCATATCACCATAACACAATTAAGGGTATGTTTAGTAGACAAATAAGCTACTTTATACCTTATTTGGTTAACTTATAAGTTTCATATATTTAAATAAATTTCGTTTGTGGAAACGAGCTCTTTTAAAAAGCTCGATCTTATCTCATAACCTTCTTTAGGTAGCTTTTCAAAAAATAAGCTCGTTGAAATTTTTATTTCAGCTAGCTTATGATCAGCTAATTTTACTGAACATTTTTATCATGTAAGCTATTTTTTCAGTTATAAGTCATAAATTATAAGCTATAAGCTCGAAAATTATTGATAAGCTATAAATTAACTTATCAGCTATCATATATTTTATCAGCTAATTTTACCAAACATATACTAATTCAAAAACTCCAATATATGTCTATATAGAAATAAAAATAGTAACATTTTTTTAATCATACATTTGTTGCGTTAGCCATTCCTTTCTGAAAGAATTCTTCCATCACGACGTCAAAAATCCTTGCACCCCTACTTTTAAATACCTGCATTATTAATGAATAATACGTATTAGCAGCAGAAATTAGGTGTGAACGATCTTAATTAATAAATTTGTAAGATGAATAAGCAAAATATGTCTTGTGTGGGTATATATATGTAAAGGCTTACACTATGATCCGCGTTTCCCATGAAAGATGAACCATCACAGTAGACCACTTGTACTCTATTCCAATTATAGAAATCTGAGAATGATCCATCAAATGCCAATAACAAAACCATCAATAATTAAGATTCTTTAAATAATTCATCCTATGGCTAGCTACCATGGTTTTAGATTATTATGGAGATTCTATTATTGAAGTCAAAACTAATTTTATATATACTAGTATTCGATCTTGTGCATTTGCACAGATGTAAATAAAATTAAATATTATAAGTTATATTTATGTATATAATATAAAATTATAAGTTATATAATTGTATTATATTTCAAACATATAGTATTATAAGTTATATTTATGTATATAATATTAAAATTATAAATTATATAATAGTATTATATTTTAAAATTTGATCATTGGTTAAAATAAATAGTACAAACAATTTGATTGTATACGAATCACTATATTGATTGCATAAAATGCAATAAATATATACTTTTTATAATTTCGAGTTATCATAACCAATTAATTAGCTGAAAAATATTACATTTATTATAACAATTGCTTATGTGATTTTAAGAAATTTTACTATGACATAAAAAAAAATTAATTTATTAATAAACAACATCTTCATCATATAAAAAAATATTGATTTTAGTGTAAAATATAATTTTATGTAACTTTCATATATTATTTAGTATAAAATATAATTACTAATTTTAATATTAACTATTATATTATTCAATAAAAAATATAATTATTAATCAATTAACATAAAATATAATGATTTTTGTCTTAATTAACCCAAAAAATGTAATGAAATATTTTCTTATTAATGAGATTGGGTGTATTAATGCCACATAAATAAAATTTATTAGGTTTTATTAATGATTTGCCACATAGGTAAAATTTATTAGGTTTTATTTATTAGGTAAAATTTATTGCTTAGCTAGTAATTATATATATATAGATTATTGAAGCCCACAAACTGTATTATGTCCCGTTACAATATAATACCGTTCTTTTAATATTAATCATATTATTGGAAAATGCTACAATCCCATTACGGAACCATTCCGTTGAAATTATAACCGTTAGATCATCAAGTAACCGTCAATGATAATTGATCTAACGGTTACAAATCCCAACGGAATGGTTCCGTAACGGGATTGTAGCTTTACCCCATATTATTAATTATATATGGGGACGGCTACAGTCCCATTATTATATAATACAGTTTCTTAAATAAATTAATAAACTTAAAATGAAGGGATAGTACTGTTAAAACTTAAAAGTAGCAATCGCATCTTAGCATTTTCCGTAAATAAATAAAATTAAATAAATAATAACCTGGATTTGTTGTGTGGTCTCTGCTATGTAATTGTCCAAAAGTGATAATCTTGAGACTCTGGTTGCTGCTTCCACCTCCATATTTCACCTTTCCTTCACAACCCCCATCACTACCACACCAACCCCCACCCTGAAATTAAATTCAAATCTTTATTTATTTTTAACCAACCAACAAATATAATAAACATAACCTTCTTAATTAATTTCAATAAAAAGTACTACTCATCACTTAATTTAATATAATAATAATAATAATAATAATAATAATAATAATAATAATAATAATAATAATAATAATAATAATAATCTCACATTCAAATAAATAATCCAACTATTAACTCCATCTCCAAATCCAGGATCATAGTAATAACCTCCTGCACTTCCGTCCAGACAAACTGCATATATGTACAAATATAAATAATAACTTAATTTGTGATGAAAATGTGATGTGTGGCCAAATTATTATTAAGTTATTTATACATAATATTTAATGTTATTAAATCATTAGCTATATATAATTTGTTTTTAGAAAGGAAAACCAAGTAACCTGCTCCCGTTTCGCTTGCATTAGCAATGAATGTGAGGCTAATGTTTCCATTGACATCGCCTTGGACTCCAACTGTGTTTATATCAATAATAATTCATGTAATTAAATCATGATTACTCATAATTAACTAACTATATGGAATATTAGTAATAAGAAATTAAAACAATGTAATTAACCTGTTCCAGTTACGTTTAATGTGAGGCTAACTCCATCGACATGTCCTTGGACTTGATGAGTATTCACCACAACAACAAAGGAAAAGATCACTAGCTTTAACAAGTGATCACCCATGGTTCGAATGTTTTTTTCAATTCTAAATATTAATAAACAATACCAAAAAAAAAAAAAATATTAGTGAATTCAGTGACGAGAATATTTTCGTAGAATTTAGTGCCACAACCAAAATTCAATACTTATTGTGGTTTGCGCAACAAGGAAAGGTAATGAAATGAAAGGATTGCAATATAAATACACATCGAGATTTTTTGGCAATATAATAATTACCTTAAGAACCAGGCTTGATCACTTTCAAAGGGTTTATAGATTTATTGTTAATGCTTGTGTTTCTTGAGCTAATTTAGTTGCTTTTATAGTGCATGTAATTCGTTTAATGAAAAGGTTGTTAACTGTTCCCTAACATTAGCTCTTTTCTGTGATGCAACCTTATTTTCGCTTGGATCAAGACATAAATTGGCAAATCAATAGGTTGTGGATATAACATATCCATTTGACAACCACTAGTTCCATAGTAATTGCTTAGCCTATGAAATGGGTTACAACTCTAGGCCAATTCTTTTAGCTCCAAAAATAGCAAGGTTAGGTGTTTTAAATCTCGGCCTATTTGAATAATGCTTCTATAGGCAAAAACATTTTGGGGCAAGTTCGTTAAAGCTATAACTACAAGAATTTGTTTAGTAGGAACAACTAAATACCTATTACTATATAATAAAGAGAGGAATTTATTTGAAATAGTATTAAAATTCCAGCTTAATGTTAGAAAAAAAGATGTTGTTTGAGAAAATATTGTGTATACATTAATTCCGAAACATATGGGCAGTAATTTCCGTAAATGTTATGGGTAAATATGGTCAATAATGAGAAAAAATCTTGAAAATCTTACTTCTAAAAAATCCGATCAGTAATTTCCTTAATTTTTTTCAGTCAAATATGTAAATTTTACTACAAAAATCTGGTCAATCATTTAACGAATAAAACGTTTGAAATTTTTTTAAATCTTTCCAAAAAGTAATGCCAACTTAATTAATTGTTAAATATTTTTTTATCCATATTTATCTATCTACAAATCTCATATGTTATGGTCACAACTAAAAATTTGTATTTATTTAATAAAGGACGTTAATTTCATAAATTAATTTTTATATTTCGGATTATTCAACTTAATTGATTATTTTTTTGTTCATATTTCTCTAACTACAAAATCTTTTAAAGTTTAGAAAGAATTTCATATTACGTGGATTATTGGTACACATCTATTTTTCATCTCATATAAATCTAACACGCTGAAGTCATTGCAAGTAATAAGCACGACTTTGTTATGCCAATTCCTAGCAACAGACGCAACATTTGTCATGCGTATTCCCTGTCCAAGGAATCATGTTTATTAATAACAAATGATAATTATTAATAATAAATGACAACTATACTACAACTCTTTTATTTTTTTATTTTTATTTTTTTTTATCGGAACGATAGGCGAACTATTCATTAAAAGAACAAGAAAAGAAAAGGTACAGAGTCCCAATACAGACGAGTACAGACTCGAAAACAAAGCCGAGGGCTAATGCCAGGGAAGCTACACAATTGCTCATGTAGCCTAAAAAATACAACCACCATAATCCAATATAACCAGAGGTAATAAACCACTGCACCCCCCAGTTATTCAAAAAATACACAAAAATCTAATAAGAAAGCATGAAGAACATAACTACCACTCAACTGTACTACTCAAAGAGTAGACCTAGCTTGGTCTTCATGTTCTCTTCTGCTGAAAACCAGCTCCAGTCCCCCTGCTTCTTGCCACTCCCCTGTTGCTGCTTTGATAATGCCCATCTCCGACCTCCAAATATTCTCAAACATCCATAAATTTCTGGATTTCCAAAGCCACCATAGAATGTAAGTAGTTAGTTCTATTCTGGCTTCAGAAACCTCTGATCCATCCAAACTGCATACCATCCCCCACCAATCTGCAAACTGAGTTGAATCACCCTAGGAATAATTCCAACAAAGAGGAGCATGTTTCCACACTCTCTTTGCTCTGTCACACCTAAGAAAAACATGCTCAATTGTTTCCTCCTCCATCCCACATCCTTTACACACCACATCAATCATAATTCCCTTTTTCCTTATATTCACATTAACAGGTAAAAGCCCCGAGAAGCATTTCTAAGTAAAGTGCTTGATTTTACCTTTTACTCGAAGTTTTCAGCTCCTCACCGTCACCGTTTTGTTTCTGTCTGCTGTGGTGCTCCCTTTTGCCAAATCAAGTGCTAAAAGCTTCTTCTTGCTCAGATATCTGTATGATGAAGCTACTGAAAACTTTCCATTATTGTTAAAACTTCATCTCCACTTGTCTTCTAAATCCAGGTTTAAAGTCTAAATCTGCAGTATAGCTTCACCATCCTCAACTTCAAACATCTCTGTCACTTTCTGCTCATCCCATTGTTTGTCATTGGCACTAATCAGTTCAGAGATCCATAATTCCTGATCTTTAAATTGAGTTTCAGCTATGGCCCTCTCATACTCATCCCAAGAACCCAATTGTGATCCTGCACCTCCACTTGCAGTCCTTGTTGTAGCAGGCCTTTCACTTCCCACCATGACCTCCATAGCCAAAATGAGTTTTATTTGTGATTAGAGTCAAAAAGTGAGCATTTGGGAAAGTATATGCTCTTCAGAATTCTACTCATCACCAGGTTGAGAGATTTGACCACTCTCCATAGTTGTTTGACCAAGAGTGCTTCATTGAAAATACTGATATCTTTAAGGCCCAACTCTCCATGCCTCTTGTCAATAGTCAACAAATTCCATCTTCTCCAGTGAATACCTGGATCATGATGCCTCCCCTTACTGCACCAAAATGTAGCAAAGATTTTTGCTACATCTTTACAGACACCTTCTGGTAATTTGAAACAACTCATCACAAAATAGGCATAGCACTGAGTACTAAATTGATCAAAACCTCTTTGCCTACTGTGGATAAGAACTTATTCTTCCAACTGGTTACTCTTTTATGAACTGCTTCAGTCACATAGCCAAAAATCTCCCTTTTTTATTGGCCAATCCCTAAAGGGAGTCCCAGGTATCTTGTAGATCTCTCTGGCCTTATCCCTTCCAACACCTTACATATATCTGACTGGACAACAGTTGTAGTGTTCCTGCTAAAAAAAATGAAAGATTTGGCTAAATTTACTCTCTGACCAGAGAATTCCTGGTATCTAGCCAGTAAATCAACCAATCCTCGAGCTTGATAGGTATTTGCTTTGCAAAACACCAAACAATCGTCAGCAAATAGTAGATGAGTGAGGATAGGAGCCCCTCTAGCCACAGATAAACCCCTGAATTTCCCTCTACCCTCCTCCGCATTAATCATAGTAGAAAGCAACTAAGAAATTAATATAAACAGATATGGAGACAGGGGGTCCCCCTGTCTCAAATCCCTAGATGCAGCAATGTTCCCACATATATGACCATTGAAGAAAAAAGAGAAAGGGACTAAGGAGACACATTCCAGAACCTACTAAACAAACTTTCTGGCAAAACCCATCTGGATCATAGTAAGACTTAAGCATTGCCATTCCACTCTATCGTATGCTTTCATCATGTCAAGTTTGATTGCCATATAGCAGTGTTGACCTTACCTATGCCTATTCAGAAAATGGATACCTTCCTGTGCAATATCTACGTTATTACTCAGCTGTCTATCAGGCAAAAAAGCTGCCTGTATTTCATCACACAACCTTTGATGCACTGTCTCAGTCTCATAGCAACTATATACAACTCTTAGATTGTTATTGTCATTTGGTGCCATAAATATTTGTTCGAACGTGTCATTAAAGCACTAAAATTATTTTAATAACTGTGAGATCTATGTTAATACTCAATCATCAAAACTCAAATGATAGTAAAACAACAATGTGGTGCTAAAGTGCTTAATTCACCAATCAAATAGACTGAAAATTAATACATCTACTATAGGGCAAAACAATATTTGTTCAATTGGTTCCTTATGTTTAAAGGGGTGAAAAAAAAATGCATAGCACGCACTACAAGAAACAAGCTTAAGTGGAACAATTAAATGTCGTGCCTATAACTGTTAAAATCGCTACTTTTTATTTATTGAGATGATATATCATTGCAAAAAAGTCGTGCCAATAGACATGTGTCCATTGGTATATTGGCACGCTAAAGTTGTTAATAAGTGCAAAAGTAATAGCCACAACATTTGTTGTGCCTATTCCATCTTGATTGATGTCATGTTCATATTATTCAGATAATGAGCATGTTGTGCCAATAATTGTCGTGGCTATTGTTATAATATGAATTGAAACAATATGTTGTTCTAATTCTTACGTGTCGATAGGTATTACACATCAAAATATGTCATTTCAAATGATGTTAATATACAGGCAAAATTACAAAAATAATACACTAAATTGGGAGTTGTCAACAAAAAAGACAATTTGTTGTCCCTCACGGTAAAGATACACTTAGTTGGCTTTTTGCACAAAAAAGATACAAATTTACAAAAATGATACACTAAGTCGGGCATAAGCAATCCAAAGTCAGGCACAAACGATACACTTAGTGTATCATTTTTGTAAATTTGCATTTTTTTCGTGCAAAAAGCCAACTAAGTGTATCTTTTCCGTAAGGGACAACAAATTGTTTCTTTTGTTGACAACGCCCAACTTAGTATACCATTTTTGTAATTTTGCCTTAATATACATATATGCATTCAACTTTTAGTGACAATTTTATTGTTCCAATATAGGATGAAGATTTAAATACAAAATATTTATATATCAATTAAACTTGAATGATACAACATAATACAACCAAAACAATATTGTCACAGTAGACATGTTTCTGAATCAAAATATACATATTAGATATATCCATTCCATCAACTTCACAACCAACTAATTTGTTTCAAGGGTTCCCAATATACAAACAAAATACAACATGTCAAAAGTCTTGGGACCTAATCAAAACATTATGTTTTACATGGAGTAAACCCCATATAAATTACTTGGTTCTCTTGCTTCAACAAATATACTAAAAGAACCGAGACCAAGCAAAATGTTAAAATATATTATAGTATCAAACTAACATTAACATTGCCCATTCTCATGCTCTTGATGAGTGAATTGAGCAACCGTCTCCTTCTCTTCATCAACGTCAATCCCAACCTTAGCCTTTAGTCGTGCAAGCGCCTTTGACATTTTCTCAAACTTAAACCCCAAAAAAAAGGGTAAAACAAAGACATTAATTACAATCCCGTACCAAATGACCAAAAAGTATCTTGAACGCAAAGCAACATGCATCCTCAAGAAAAAAATTGTAGAGAACTTCCTACGAAAGGCATAGAAAAATAGCGACAAACTATAATGCGAACAACACAACCATAAAACTAACGAAGTGAATGATTAGAATGATATATGGTCGAACATCAACTAGTAAATATAGTGAAATGTACATTGATTAAGAATAAAGACCCAAACTCTGCACCATATTTTATAATTAATAAAGTTAGGAACCAACTTAAAAAAGAAAGAAGAAGTATTGCAACATCTTTGCACCTAATGTTAATTAAATCAAAGTCATGTTGCAGGTTCAACAAAGTTTAAGCTATTTTGACTACTGCAGAATTTCGTTTAGAATAATCAAAACCAAAGATTCAATTACTCTTTATAAGCAAAGAGTTCAAAGAACCAATATTTTCTTTAGCCTTATATAACTCATCAGCACTTATCTCCTATAGATTTCTACAGCAAAAACCAATGGCAAAACTTCTTTGCTCTAAAGAGTGTAGTCAGTTATAAATTGCAAGTAAAGAAAGAATGCAACTCACAAAAATGAAAAATAATAAGTATACTATTTTGATGTGTTTGTTACTAGTAACACCACAAGAAATGAAATTTTCTACTGTACTTTGTTGCACAAATAATGAAGATCCATTGCAAACCAAATTAAAATCCAATGTACTGCATTCACTTGAATCATAAATGAAATGTCAAAAGTCCAAAATACTAGCATTAAATAAGTGCAAATATAAGCATACCTCCTTCAGTCTTAATGCTGATACTTTCTTTTTTGTCGAGCCCCTAGTGGAAGTCCTCCTTTGAGTGTGGCTTCAATTGTATGAATCCATCAAGTCAAGATGGTCTTCCGATATCTTGGCTTGGTTCATATACCGATGACATAACTTTCAGCATTCGGGGTAGCACCTTGAGTATCTTTTCTAGTAGAATTTGAATTAATAGATGATTCTGGGATATCATGAATGGCGGTGGACTTGGACCCCTTAAGGATCCGTCCAAAACCGCATTCATGACCTCGCCGAGTACCAAATACTTCCCGCATAATAGCTCTCTCATCCATAATGTTGTCAGGGGAAGTGAGTTGTGTTAATTCTCTTGCTTGAAGAAGACGAGACTACATAAAAGTAGTTTATGAAAACTGATGGGATTAAAATTAAAGACAATTTAAGTCGAATCAAGATACGAAAATAATTTACAGACAAAGAGACAAATTCAAAGAAGAGCATGGGAAGAAATAGGGAGACATTGAGTAAGTCGAACGTTGATTGGTAGAGATAAATAATTTACAGACAAATAGGACATTGAGTAAGTTTGAAATAGTATGGAGTTTTTTGTACTAAATTGAGTAAGTTCTTGAAGCATATGGAGTTTTATATACTAAATTGTTCCCCTGCCTTGGAGAGTTTTAGTCATTTCCACTACAGGTAACATATAATCTTTATTTTGCTTGGTAGTTTTGTTTAATAGAAATAGTATATTGTTATGCTAGTATATAGTGAATGAACTTAAAATGACTTTGTTCTTTATATGTGCTTATAGAAAGAACTACCAAGGTGAGTTTTTGGCATACTTATAAAAAAAGTGATGAGCTGTAATTAGGACTCACCTTTTTGTAAAACCAATCCGAGAACCGTTGTCGGTGCTGAAATTCCAAGTATGTAACGCCACTTTCCATCAACTCTTGCTTATGCTCCCTGTCATAAAAGAAAATCAATAATTTACAATGGAAGGAATGTTATGTATAAACAAAGAACATTAAGGAAATGAAAATTCTTACTGAACAAATAAGTCTATTTTAGGACAATTATTGAGTATGTAAAATTCTGAATGTTTATGCTTCTCCGGGTCTAGAACCACACTCTTACGACCTTCAATAGGAATGCATTGTGATCTGAATACTTAAAGTTGTGTTGTCACATTACATGTAGGATTTCTCTGGGGTCGATTGGACTTTGTCTCTACATCATTGAAATAACGTGCACAAAATGTTATTGCCTCTCTCGAGATATACGCCTCAGAGATTGAACCTTCTGGTTTAGCCGAATTTCTAACACATCCTTTCAGCTCCTTTAAATATCTCTCAATTGAAAACATCCATCTTAGGTGTCCAGGTCCACCTAAAATTGCCTCCTCAGGAATATGCATTACCAAATGAACCATTACATCAAAAAAATGCAGGGGGAAATATCCCTTGCAATTTGCACAAGACCATAATCACATCCGACTGCGCTGAGATAAGGTCACTGACATTGAGACTTTTGGCGCACATTTTTTTGAAGAAGTTACACAATTCTATGATTGCATCGGAGATATCCTTATCCAAGTATGAGCAGGCTGCTACAGGTAATAATCTCTGCATTATGACATGACTATCATGAGATTTTAATCCTGTTAAGCACCCTTCTTTTGGAGGCACACATCTTCTTAGGTTTGATGCAAATCCATTTGAAAAACTCACAGATCGGATCTAGTTGCAAAATGCAATCCTTTTAGTCAGCGAAAGTGTATAACGAACCCGTGGTTTCATTATCTTACCCTTATCAGAGTAAAGATGCAACTCCGGTCTAATATTCATGTTCATTAAATCTCGCCTAGAATTAGGAGTATCTTTTGATTTGTGTGGATCATCCATAATTGTCCCCAGGAGACTGTCACATACATTCTTTTCTACATGCATCATATCAATGTTGTGCTTCAATTCATTAGTAGACCAATAAGGAAGCTGAAAAAAATACTTTTCTTTCTTTAGTTTAACTCATCTGCATGCTTTTTTGTCTTTGCACCACCGTACTTTTTATGCTTCTAGGGTATCTTTGGCCTAACTCGATTCAACTGCATCAATATGCCTGCCACTGATTTCTTGCTTGGAGGGCCTCAAAATTCGATTTGACCATCAAAGTCACGCAATTTTCTCCATCTATGGTTTACCAGAAGGTACCTTCTGTAGACCAAGTACACTATCTTACCCATTATGCATTGGAAAGGAGTTTCGTCATTGCACGTGGGACAAGCCATGTAACGTTAGCCACTCCGTCCTGAAAGGCTGCATCTAGAGTGGAAGTCATTAATTGTCCACATTAATGCAGCTCGCATCCAAAATATACCACAATTTTTTGTTGTGTATCCACATCAATAGACCACAATATCTTCAAATCTTCCACAAGAGGCCTTAGGAAAATATCCTTATCCTTTCTTGGGGATTTAGGTCCTGGGATTGATAATGTAAGCATCAAATACTCCGACCTCATACAAAGCCATGGGGGAAGATTGTAAACAGTTAATATTACTGGCCACATGCTGTATAACTGGCTCATATCACCAAATGGGTTGAAGCCATCAGCTGCATGTCCAAGACGAACATTACGCCTCTCACTAGAATAATCTAGATGTCTAGCATCAAATTCACGCCAGGCTTTACCATCTCTTGGATGAGTCATAACATCTTTATTGTGGTCAATACTATGCCAACGCATAAGTTTTGTTGTCTCTTCCATCGCGAATAATCTTTTCAATCGTGGGATGATCGAAAAATAACGTACAACTTTACGTGGAATTTTGCTTCTAGAACATTTTCCACTGTTCTCTCTCCAGCGTGATTCGCCACATACTGGACATTCTTGTCTGTCAACATACTCTCGCCAAAATAGTGCACAATCATACTTGCAGACATGTATACTCTCATAGCCCAAGCCCAAGCTCGCTAACAACTTCTTAGCTTCATAGTATGAGTTGACTAGTTCCATTGAAGGAAATGCAAGTTTAAGCAACTTAAGTAACTCATCAAATGATTTATTTGTCCATTTTCCATTCACCTTGATATTCATGAGCTTTTGATGTAGAGCGTATGTATGAATGGGAAGAACACGCACAAATGCTAGAACAAATTTCTTATTTTTGATCGATAAAAACTGCTCTCTTCTGCTCAGGAAGAGACTACATAAAACCAAGAGTCCATTGACCGCGCGTCGCAACGCGGCAAATTTAAATTTATAAAAGTTTCCTCAACTAACCTCAACTAACTAGTAGTAGTGGCGAGTAAGGGTCGATCCCACGAGGAGCATGAATTAAATTGTGATAATTTTGTATTAATTGAATAAATGTAAGAAAGCAATAAATGGGGGATTGGTTTTATAAAAATAAAAATAAAAATAACAAAATAAAATAAAAATCAAATCAAATAAGAGAAGTCCAGTTTTCGGTTCAGTTATCACCCAATCTAAATCTACCGTTAATTAATTTCGACGCTTTCTCTAGAATGCTAATGAATTACCAACCCTACCTAACAACAAGCTCTATTAACCGAATTTTCCCTTACCGAATATTTAATCGAAATAGGCTCTTCGACTAAACTTAACTAGTGCACAACCTAGAATAAGCTCTCTAGATTCAATACACTCGCAACATTAATTTCTAGGAAAATAGGTCAGTCTAAGCAATGGACGCACAAGCTCGGACCATTTAACTTATGTTCATGCTACCCTAGAGATGCACCACCCCTAGTTTACTACTAACGAAACGAGAACAATAACAATTACGGATTAAAGCCTCAAATCTAGCAGTTAAATTATGAATATTCAACCTAGCTGACCAAACTAAATCAAACACCATAATTCATAAACACGATACACAGATAACACGAATCAACTCATCAACAAAAATAAATATGGCGTCTTAATTAACCAACGATAAAAATAAATCCTTCAATCCATAGACAAATCGAAGTTAGGGTTCAAACATCTCCTCAAACGGGATAAAAATATTAGTCTAACATACTAATCAAAATAAATACTAAATAAAAAGAGAGAATATATCTCCCTCGTGTGCAAGTGCGGTTTCCCTCCGCGTGTGTTATTTCTCTCCTTCCTGCGTGCGTGTGTCTATTTCTATTGCTCTCGGCTTCTCTTTTTCCGTGTGTGGCGTCCTTTTTCTTCCTCCTCACAAATAATTCCCGTCCGCAATTAAATCTCCTCCTAGAGTTTTTCATTGGGCTGCGTGAGTCATGTTGCATGTAAATTCAGTTTAATTCCCCTCCTCATTATGAAGCTCACGACCCAACTAAAAGGAAATTCAAATTCCCAAGAATAATTGCTTTAGTGGGCCTCCAAATGTTTTAATGTGCTGTCAGCCTTAATGGGTCTTGCTTGATCCAGCATTCGGGCACTCCGATAAATAATACTTGAACTCTCGTCAACAGCTTCGTCATTCACAAAATACTCTAATATACTGAAAATAAACATAGAAATATTAATGTATATGAATCCATCCAAATAATAAATAAGTCGAAAAAATATAAACGTGCGAATAAATTAAGTGTATAAAAATACACTATTAAATATATGATACGCGCACATTTTTCGCCCTATCAAATCTCCCCAAACTTAAACCATTGCTTGTCCCCAAACAACCTAGAACTATAAGCACATAGATGGATATATACAAGTACGTAGAATTTTCGCTCAGGTCCTCACACATCTCACATAAATGCATAGCTACAACTTCCCAAATTAATGACCCCAGACTCGAAATGAAATCATCTTTAGAACGCCAAGTCCAGCCCTTGGCTACACCCCACTCCATAGAGTTAGCCAGCAAACCCCCCTGACTCATCTCGGATTAACTCACCGGCACCGGCAATCCCCGGCCATGGCTGCACCATCAGTATGAATTTTGACATAACCCGACGATGGTTGTTCCCATGCAATCAATCAAATATCAATTCAGTGAATTACCGCAGTCTCCGTCCGAATTATCCCCAACGAACGGCAACAAGTTCTTGACGTTAAAGATGTCAGACATGTGAATATGTGACAGCAGGCGGAGACGATAAGCGTTGGGGTTGATCTTCTCCACCACCTTAACCGGCCAATCTTTCGAGCATACAGTTTATTATAATCATGAGCGGAAAACCTATCTTTCGTCAAAACAGCCTAAACAAAATCACCTACCTCGAACTCCATATGTCGACGACGAGCATCTGCCTGCCTTTTATAAACCGCCGTTGTCTCTTCCAAACGTGCTCGGGCTGTGGCATGCGTGGACTACAGCTCGTGAATGAGTCTGAAGCCCGACGATCAACACTCCCGCCAGATGGCAACACCCCCAAGCCCGACGGGT